AGAGGCTGAGCTTTTCTGAGAAATCCGAACAAGCCATCAGCACATAGAAAAGTTTCAAGTATAGAAAGGTATGCTTGTGAGTAAACTAATTTAATTACCTTTCTCCTGACAATGAGAGGAGTGTCATCATCATCATCATCATCATCATCTTTCAAAATGGGAGATGCTGAGGCTGGCCGTTTGCGGCTTGGGACACTCTTAGCTGCAGCAGGCTTGGCAGAAAGAGAAGTAGATGGACGAACAGACTGTTTAGCACGAACGGAAGAGAAGGGACTCCTAATGGACACAGGGGTGACCAAAATAGGAGAAGTAGAAGAAATGTCTGGCTGATCTAGTGAATGGAAAACGTGATTGGCATCAGTTGCAAACAATTTGCGCTACACTGATGGCCAGAGTTGTTCAAAAAGAGGATGGATGGCACGGCAAGGATTGAAGGGGGCTAATGAAAAATTACTCGTCAAAAGAATATTGCAAGCATTTATAACTTCTGCCTCTGCCTTATTAATGGTGTGGAAGCGATCTATCAAATTTCTAGAATAACAAGGGGGAACAGGCCAAGTTTGGCCAAAACTAAGTTGACGAGCAAAAAATTGGGGAGCATATATTTCAACCCCAGCTTTAGCATTGGTTCCAGTCAAAATATGATGGAACAACTCCCTCCCGATCAAAAACTGAACCCAAACAAGCAGAGAGGTGTTCGCGCTGTCCAGAGTGGATGGGGGTTGCACATAATCTGGAGTTAAAAAGAGAAGAAAAGGAAAGAAAGAAGGAATTGAATTCAAAGTATAAAAGAATGAAAAATGTCCCTTCTAGACATATTTACAGGGCTCAGTGGGCCAATAGCTAGCCCATAGCAGCTAGCGAAAGGAAGGGAAAAGGATAGAGCATCAAGTGAGGGAAAATAGGCTCTCAACCACATTTGAGTGAACCAAAGAGGCCCACTGCCAGCGGGAGACGCACCATTCTTCAATTGGAATTGGAGAGAAGCGTGTCTCTATAGAGGGCAACCAAAAAGAAAGAACACAAATTCAGAGGCCTACCACGCACCAATTCGTGCGCTATAGATAAATAGCTCATAGAAGGCTTCATGCTTGGCACACACAGAACATATTTACAAAGTCAAATCTGAATAAAGGCCACACGCTCAGCATGGGAAGGCTCAGCGCTTGAGTGATTATAACAGCTTTGCAGGCTTGAATAGGACTCGGTGAGTTTTCTGTCAAATTTTGGGGCGACACCAGAAATCAAAATACCAGGAAAAATGTTATCGCCCAAAGGCGGCAAATTTACTAAGGCCCCAACATCCCTTAAAGTAATGGACATGGGACAAAGAGGGAAAACAAAAGTATTATACTCAGAGGACCAAAAACTTAATGCAATAGAGAAAAGCGCTGAATCAAAAATAGGGGGTTGAAGAGAGATTTCTAACAAATCAGAAATTCTAGCACTATCAAAAATTGCCTTGGTAGGACCATGGTCTACAAGGCGAACATGCCATCTATGGAAAATAATATCAGATTTAAGCTAAGTGCGAATACCTCTTTCGCGAAGCGGCCTCAGCGGCAAAGAGTTTAAAAACGGGGGGCCTTGGGTACAAGGGAACAGCTGGCCCACCGCCACTTGTTCGACGACCTCGGCGTTGTTGAATGAAGACCTAGATAAAACTCATTGAGTTCGGCATTGGCTGGTGTGAGGAAGTTCGGAGTTATATATGGCCGAGTGAGGAGTTTCTGGAAGCCTTTGAAACTGAAAGAGTCACTAGATTGGGATTGTGAAGCAGCCATTAGGAACGAAATAAAGCTTTGTTGAAGTTTGATCGAGAAACGTAGCAGAGAAGCAAGAAGATGAACAATAATATTGCGAGAGAGAAGCGCAAAGCAATGAGGTGTGATTTAGTAGTGCGATGAAATGACGTGTATTTGGGGGTTATAAGGGTTTGCTCACACCTTTTCAGGCTATGGAAGAAAATAATGATTGAAATTCTTGAGAATTTCAAATGTTGCTGGGAAACACAAAGTGAATATAGCAAAAATTAATAATTGGTATTAATTCTGCCCTATTGGGGGGTAATTGTTGACATGCAAAAAGTGCAGCCCAATTCAAATAGCCCAAAGAATGAAGTCCAACTAGGCGATTCAGGATAAAGGCCCAAATAGGGTTATTAATGAATGCAGTGGAAGCTCACGAACGGGGTAACACCATCGCCCAAACTTACAAGACGCCCAGGATCTGAGCAAATGAAGTGCCTTGCAGTCGCCCAGAGTTATGACTATGTTCTCACCCAAACCTTCGAATCGTCCAGGATCTTAGCAAACATGAGATGTTATAGTTATCCAAAAGTGCAATTATCGAAGCAATTATTGGGTAATCTTATCACATTCCACGATTCAAGGATGTTCAGTTGAGGACGGTTGAATGACAAAGAGTAATGGCAGCAATTAGAGACGGCAGTTCCACGATAAGTTGGTCACCATGAAGAAAGTGGGCAGTTATAAAGTAATTGAGCAGTTTCTAAGTGATTAATCACAAAGAGAGCATCAAGGGAATATAAAAGGGAGAAAAAATATAGAGCAAAGGACCCCCGAATCAAACACTTTCAAACAGATAATATGTAATTTCAATTTCTTAGTTTAGACTTAAGACATTTCTTCTCAATACTCGTGTGCTTGCGCCCCTTGGAGGCATTTCTGTTTAAGTTCCAATTGTAAAGTAATTGCCAATAAAACACCCCTTTTTAGGACTTTGTCTCAAGAGGTTTGTCCCTTACACAATCGTCTGATCCCTTTTTAATTGTTAGCGACTACCCGCACGAAACAATTTCTTTAATACTATTTAATATTATCCAACTCGTACTCCCGAACACAACACTTGTTTGATTTGTAATGCAAAATTGTGTCTTTCAAGTTAAGGGAAAATAATATTAACATGTTTGATGCTACTCTAATAAGATTGGACATGGCTAATAATAAAATCAAGTCTATATTTTAACCAAAATCACCTTTGTCCAGTTTAATTGCACCACATATTACTTTTTTGAAAGACAAGGTCTAGACGTGAGGGCTAGTGGATGGTGCGCCCGTCAAATTTCGAGGCGCCACCTCAATGGATGGCCCACACACCTCGAGGGTGTGTGGTGAGCCACCTGCCGAGGTGGTATACATCGATAGGGCGGTTGCACCGCTCTCTCAGGCATGAGACATGAGCCATAAGGTATTTTGGGAAAAAAGCTTGGCATATAAGGCATCAAAAAGATTACCAACTTATTTTGATCACCTAGTATAGGTCTAGGCACTAAAATGTGTGCTTTTTTACTATTATTATTTTATTGTTTTCTAATTTTTTTTTTAACTTTTCTAAAAGTGAATTAAAATAAATATTAAATGAAATGTCTTATTAAGTCTTGCTTGTAGGGATTGAGGCCACCTTTTAAACGTTGCATAGCATACTAGTCCAAAACAAATCATATTATGGTGATACATTCTAGAGATCACTAATGTCATTAAGGGGTTCTTCAATAAAAATTTTAGCAGACTATGACAAGTTAATAAAGATTATACACCTGATGACATACGTAATTTAAATTAATTATTGACTTTGAACTCAAATTTTTAGTAGCTTCTTACCTTATCCCCAACAAGCACTAAATTTTATTTTGACACGTATGGATCACACAAATTAAATTTCTATATCAATCAAAACATCTAGTTTAAAAATTATAAGTCTATTAAGTGTTATAACAAGTGTAAAGCGTGGCTAAGTATGGAATCGAAACTTCAAGCATTACAAACTTAAGCGAACCTAGACAAGGTTTAGGCGTAAAAAAAGCATTTTCTTATTTATAAGATTATTTTAAATTTTTAATCATTTTAAAAATCATTTAATAATTAAAATAATACATATTAAACATCTAAAATTATAAAATACAATGTTTACTTAATAACTCCTACCATTAGTCAATTATACAATTTCCAAGTTTTCGAAATGCAAATATTAAAATATTTTTCATAGATTCAATTTTGAACTAGATAAATCCTACCTAATAGATTTATTGAAGTTCCATACGTGCTTTTGGAGTTTGTAATAAGAATGAGTCTCAAGATCATAATTACATAATATGGATAACACCAAAACTTAAATCTTATATAACTATTTAGATAAAATCATTTTTAACTTTTGTACAGATAAAATCTTTTTAAAACATGAAATTAAAGTCAAATGAAAATTATTATTTTTTTATAAATAATAATAAGCTAAATTCAAATAAAAGATTTTTTTGAAAAAAAAAAAACTAATAAAGCACATCTATGAAAGACGAAAGAATGAAGGGAAAAAATCAACCATTTAGGAATTGGGGGAAAAAAAAGTGTCTAGACGCGAAGCGAGGCTTTTTGCATGAGCTCCGAACCTATATGGTGCCTTTAAAATTGATCTATAACTTCATTATTAGCTAAACGATAACAAAATCATATGGGATTACTAATCAATTAAATCATGATCATTGTCAAAAACATCATAAACACACCCAATCCAATTGTTTGAATATCATTTAACCCGTATTTTGTGGGAATTAAAATTAGATTTTTAGTAAATTTTAATAAAATTGATGAAATATGTGATTAAAAAGCAGTGAAATCCTTTGATTTAGATTAAAATATAGAGCCGTTTGATAGGAATTTTGATAATTAATTTTTTTACCATTAGAGGTAAAGTGGATCCTATCTGTGAGAGAAGAATTCAAAAATGACGATTAAAATAGTGAAATAACGGTCAAAAAAATTATTTTAATTGACTTTTAATCCGTAACAAACAAGTACGTAGAGTTAAATCCTTACAAAACATGGAATGAATTTTATTAGGATTGGTTTCTTTCCCATATTAAAGACAGGAAAGCCCATTGTTTACTCAGAAGGACATATTCGTAATCTCATACCCTCACCCTACCCCCACCCCACGCCACCCCTGCAGTCACTAACACTGATTTACGTAATCTGATACCCTCACCCTACCCGCACCCCAGCCCATTGTTCTCTTATCAATTAATACTGCTTCATGTCTTCTTTTCTGCACCATAATTTTCCACTATCTGAAACTCTTTCCTCAGCCCTTTTTTTTCTGAGTTTCAATTTAGAAACATGTTTCAGGTCTCAACCCTGGCATTTTGAAAGTTTTCATGAATGAGGGAAAGGAAGAAAGGCCCTGAAAGCTTGAAGGATCTTTCATAGCCTCGGGAAATGGCGTATGGATGGATGAAGGCACTACAATGCAAGTCAAGAGCCGCAGATGACGTCCACCACCACCGCCGCCGCCGCCACCAAAAGGATTATGACCACCACTCAAACCCTAAAAACCACCAATATCACCACCTCGTGTTATTAAACTCCGTCAACTGCAGAAACAGCGTTCAAAATCTCAGAGACAGAGTTGAAAATGAAATCACCAAACACAAAAAACCAAAGCAGCCAAAACAACCACAAACTCCGCCGTCGAAAGGACCCGTTGCTAGAAAATCCGACGCCGGTACAAAACAGTTCATCAACAAAACATCCCACGGTATCATCTCCAATTCCGGCTGGCTGTTACGTGCCACGGATTTATACTTTCCGGCAATCACTGAGCTCCAGGAAGGCCACCCTTCACGTAATGTGGTGGAGATAATCTTTCATACAAGCTGGGGACCCAAAAATTTTCCGGGTCGGATCGAAATGGTGTTCAAGGTCCAGAATTTGGCCAGGACCGTGACCCGGTTTGAAGAATACAGGGAGGTAGTGAAATGTAGGGCGAGGTCACGTAGTTCCGCCTCCGTGAACGGCAGCCCTGAAGACCACGCACGGTGCGTGGCCGATGGAAATGAGGTGATGAGGTTCCACTGCCTGCGAGGCTCAAGCACTACAACAGGAGCTTATGACGGTGGAAGCGGCGGCGCGTGTGCATTTCATGGAGAGCAAAAGAGTGCTATATGTACATTTTCCGAGACCGGTAGCGCACACGAAAGTGCAGGTGGTGGCAGGGGGGGGAAGGCCATGTTGGTTTGCCGGGTTATAGCGGGTCGGGTATGCAAGCAATTGAAGTTTGACTCGTTGCTTGAAGGCAGAGTTGAGTATGACTCGATGAGTGGAGAGAATGGCGAGTTCATAGTATTTGATTCTCGTGCATTATTGCCATGTTTCCTTGTCATCTACAAATTGTAAAACCTTACTGGAAATAAGTAAAATTTTCTTTCATTTATATATTCTTTTTTAATTTTGTTCAATTTTTTTGAGAAAGGGGAAAAAATAATTCACTTGTTTAATTTTCTTCAAAATGATTCTGTCTGTATTAACAGTTTCAGAAAAACCAAATTAATGATAGAAAATTAAAAAAACACCAAGAATTTTTCACTCAAAAACCCAAATGTTCCCCCAAAAAGGACTAATCACTACGTTGAGTATCCATCAAAGTGATTCTCTCTTTAATCAACTAGAAACCGGCAAAATCAGTACAATAATCACAACTTAAGATTCAACGGACCTAGCCCTTGGGCCCAATTTTTCTCTAAAAAATATCCTCAACAGATTACACCAAGTAACCAAAGGTTAACGCTCAACCAAGAACAGAATGACCCTTTCTACAAAGTAATCTACACTAGACTTCACCAAGAATATCTAGAAACCAAAGGTTATAAACGAAAAATCGGAAGTTCTTTCAGAGAGAAAACAAATGAGAGGAAAACCATAGAACCATCTTACGTATATGAGCAAATGAGGAGTCAAGACATAAACTACAAAGGGTCAGAATACATCCAACGACTACACCAACTCCAAGTGGCATCATCTCGGCCTTTCAAATTAATATACCAGAGTCACACTTTAGTAAAATGCGAGAATGCTCAAATGGGAAGCAGCCGATTCACATTCCATCATTGGTCTCAAGTATTGGTTTCCATCATTGCGCCCAAAGTGTTAAGCATAATGTTTATCAATCTCTAGATTGCTTGACATCTTTGGGTTTCATTGTGGATTAGAGGTTAACTCCTCATTTGATATCATTCATTCCATGTACCTGCAGAAAAGTTAGTTAGTAATAACATTTAAGAGATTTAAACAATCCCTAAATTTATGTAAAAGAAGTATTTTTGTTCTCATATCTATTAGATTACACTCAGTTGAAACCTTTTTAATTTTCATGATCTTCTTTTCTATAATATCTCTTATGAAATAAAATTTAACATCTATGTATTTAGTTCTATCATTAAAAATAGAATTTCTATTAAAATGTGCAGCAAATTGACAATCAGAATATATAACAACATTATTACCAGAAAAACCAATTTCATCCAACAAGTTTTGCAGACATATACCTTCCTTCACAGTATCTGCGGCTACAATATATTTAGTCTCTATTAATGGTAGAGCTACAATCCTTTGTAACTGAGATTTCCAACTTATGCAAGTATCATTTAAAGTAAAACATATGCATGTGGATGTAGACTTTCTTTTATCACAATTACTAGCAAAGTCTGAATTAACAAAACCTTTTAGTTTAATTCCAATCTTACCTTTATTGAACACCAGCCCTAAGTTAGATATTCCTTTTAAGTATTTTAACAACCATTTCAAGGCTTTCCATTGACACTCGCCAGGATTAGTTATGTATCGACTTAAAACACTTACAGCAAAGGCAAGGCTAGCTTTGATATAGACCATTATACACATAATTGAGTCTACAGCATTTGCATAAGGAACTTTTTCCATCCTAATCTTTACTATTTTAGTTTTAGGACATTGTTTTATAAAAAACTTAAAGTGATTGTCAAGAGGTAAAGTTACTTCTTTAGTTTTGTCCATAGAAAATCTGCATAGTATTTTTGAAATTTATGATTATTGTGTAAGAAATTGACTATTATTAGTTCTATTTTTTCTAATTTCTATTACTATAATCCTTTTTACAGATTCTAAATCTTTCATTTCAAATTCTTGTTTTAACTTTGCTTAATGTAATTCATTTCAATTACATCACACCCAACAAATAACATATCATCAACATTTAACAATAGATAATAAGAATAGAAGGCAATTTTCACATCTAATTGTTCCAATTCAAAATCAAATTGCGAAACAAGAGAAAGTAATATTCTTATACAAGTTATTTAACTTCGAGGAAGAAAAATTCATTGTATCAATTCTTTCTCTTTAGAGAAACCCTAGTAACTAATCTGGCCTTTAACCTTACATTTTCATCTTTTGAATCACCTTCTTTTATTTTATAAACCCATTTACAATCAATAACCCTTTACCCTTTTGGTTTATTGACTAAGACTCAAGTCTTCTTCTAAACTAGTGAAAGCATTTCATCTTCCATGGCTGCAAGCCAGATCTAATGGCCTTTTTATAAGAGTTAGGCTAATTGTCTAAAAAAATTCTGAGCACCAAGTGCAGTAACAAAATTAGGTTCATTGTATCTTGATGGTGATCTTATTCCACTTCTCACTCTATCCCTGATTAGATGGTAATCTTTTGAGGGATTTACAGGCAGATCAGATTCAAGTTCAATGGCAGGTTCATGTTCAGTAATAGTATCCTGTTCCTAGATAGGCTCCACCTCAATCTGATCATCATTTCTAGGATTTAAATCAGCGAAAAAAAGTTCAGATTGTATAAAAGATCTATTTTGATCAATTTCAAAGGTAACAATTCTTTTTTCTTTAGTGCAAGGGATGTCCATCTCATTAAAGATAACATTCCTACTTATTATGACTCTATAGCCTCCTTGATCTTTCAACCGGATTTTATAACCTTTGACATCTTCATCATATCCTAAGAAAATATCTTTAATAGATTTGGGCTCAAGTTTTCCTTCATTTTGGTGTGCATATGCAACATAATCAAAGACCTTTAGTTTGGAATAATCAATAGGATAACGACTTCAAACATAATTAGGTGTATCATAATTCAATGATTTTGCGGGACACTTATTTATTAGATATGAGGCAGTTTTTACAACTTCTCCTCAAAATACTTTTGGAAGACCTAAGCTTATCAACATATATCTCACCTTTTCTAACAAAGTCCTATTCATCCTTTTTTGCTAGTCCATTCTGTTGTGGAATATAGGTGACAGTCCAATGTCTAATGACCCCATTATTTTTTTTTTTTTACAGAAATTGTAAAACTCTTCATTGGAAAATTCAAAGCCATTATCAGTTCTAAAAACTTTAACATTCTTGTTTACTTAATTTTCAATAAGAGTTTTCCATGTTGTAAAATTTTAAAAGGCATCAGATTTATTTTTCAAAAGAATGACCCAACTTTTTTTTTGAAAAATCATCAATACTAAGAAGGTAATATTTGAAACCAGATTAAACTTATAGTAGCTAGTTCCCACAGATCAACATGTAAGTAATCAAGAACAAATTTTGATTTATGGGTACCAGTAGCAAAAGTCAAATTCTTCTGCTTTCCATATATACATTGTTAACAATACGGTAATTAGCACAAAAAGTTTCTACCTTTCAATGTTATTATGCATAATGTTCCTACCTTTCATTTCTTGACATTTTCACCCTACCTTTTACCTTTTATTGTGCAAAAAGTTATTTTCATCCATTTTTCAATAAAATGATAATTTTACCCCCTATTCAAATAAAGCAAAAAAAAAAAAAAATGAATTACCAACTGCAATCATAGACCTTAAGTTTTTAAAAAATTACAAAGAAATCATAAATTCCCACCTATAGATCTACATAACACCATTTTTCGACCACCATGCGCACCGGATTCTACCACCACCAATTTCGCCTCACTCTCCCCACCGTCTTTCTGCACACGAATTTGAAAGATTGGAGTACTTGGAACCTACCAATTTTGGTCAGACAACTCTCCTCGTGCATCGTGCACATAGAGAGTTTTGGACCAAAAATTGAAATATTTGAGAGGATAATTTGTTCAATTAGATTCATATTTATTGTCGTTTGGATTTGTTGATGGTTCGATTGATGCCAATTTAGAGATTTAGTGTTATAGGATGCATGAATTGAGAAAGAAGAGTTTGGCAAAATGGACATCGCCATTGTCGACTATTCTAGAATTACAACAAAATGATTTGAGGCAATTTTGATTGATGTGAGGCCATGTATAGGTTCATCGAGGCGAGAGTAAACATCGATGGTGGTGCGCAATCGTGGGTGGTGCCGAAAGTGGGGTTGCCGTGAAGGATTGTATACGACAGTTTTGTATTTTGGGCTATAAATGTGATTGTTTCGGACAGACTGATAATTAATACTGTGGAGAAGAACATTGGGTAGAGTAAGGCGAGGCTAGTGGTGGTGGAGTCCAGTGAGTGTTGTGACCGAAAGGTGGTGATATGTGGATCTATAGCTGGCGGCTTGATGGGGCTATGAAAGCGATGGTAGTCGAGAATTTATGACATATCTATAATGTTTTGAAAAGTTTAGGACTATAATTGCAATTAGTTATTTATTTTTATTTTTTTCTTTTCTTTTCTTTTCTTTTATTTGAATAGTAGAGTAAAATTATAATTTTATTGAAAAATGGATGAAAATGACCTTTTGCGCAATAAAAGGTGAAAGATAGGAGTGAAAATGTTAAAAAATGAAAGGTATAGACCTTTTGTGCTAATTTTCCTTAACAAAAAGATACTCTTTCAATCATTTCATTTTCCTAAAAGGCCTTGTTTCTTAAGAGTACGTAAATTCTTATCTTTAATATGTCCAAGTCTTTTGTGCCAAATTTCATATTTGTCAGATTAAGAAATTGCAGCAGCAATAGATTAATTTAGTAAGGGTAAAGCTTTTAAAGCATAGATCCCATTTGATTTTTCAATATGAATAATTTTTACAAAATTCTTTTGAAGTGTCAAAATGCCTTTATTTATGATTGTGTCAAAACCTTCATCATCAAGTGTACTGAAAGAGATTAAATTTCTCTTTAAGTTAGGAATATATCAAATCTTATTCAAGGTAAGTACATTCTCATTTTCTATTTTTAAGACAATCTTACCAATTCCTTTAATTTTGTGTATATATATATATATCTTGTCCTCCATTAATTTCCAAAAAATCTGTAAGTATTCCTTACATAGTGTCATATGAAAAGTCATATAGAGTTATCCAAGAGGCTACAGCTTCTTCATAAGCTATGATAGCTCCACCTTCAACTTTATTAATATTTTTCTATTTATTAATTCTCTTGATGTTTTCCATAAAACTAACATTTATTTCCTTTAATCTT